AAATAGAAGCATTGATGTAACAGTCTTGAATATATAGAAAGTTTCTATATACTGAATTATTTATATATCTTCCCAAAGTTAGAACACTTAATTATGAAAAGCAAACATTGATAACAGAAATAGATAATCTACAGTAATTCCAGAGTTACATTGATCTACTGTCAAGGAACCCTCTAGAGTGATAAGCAAGTATGTCAGCTTAAAGAATCCAAGTGAGCCTAATCCAAGTCATGATCTCTTCAGTTACTTCCTGTGCAACTAAAAGTTGGGCAGTTAAAAGGACGACAGAAAGCCCTATGTGAAATAGAGCACACTTAAAAGTAGACTAGCAGATATGGAGACAGACCCTTCTTACTTGGAATCACAATGAGGAGGAACAGTTGCAAACAGACACTACTGATTGGAACATGGAATGTGAGAAGAATGGATCTATGAATCTATGTAGAAAAATTGGAGATTGTTGAGGAATAAATGGAACACATAAATATTGACATAGTGTGCATTGGCAAAATTAAACAGATTGACATGGACATTTTGAATCAGCTAATCATATGATCTGTTGTTGTTATGTGCCGTTGAGTTGCCTGCAACCCGTAGCTACCCTATATACAGCATCTTGGAACCCTGCCCTGAGCCTGTCTCACTGATTCTGACACACCAACCCCCACTGTCCCAGGTACAATATCAATCCATCTCATCCGGAGTCTTCCTCTACTGCACTGTCCCTCCAACCTTCTGAATGTGATGTCCTTCTCTAAAGATTGTTTCCTCCTGGTCATGTGCCCAAAGTATGTGAGATGGAGCTTCAAAATCCTAGCCTCCAAGGAGAAACTTGGTTTCACCTTCTCCAAGACAGATCTATTTGTTTTCTTGGTGTGGATCTCAGCACCACAAGGCATTGATTCTTATTCTTCTGTCATCCTTAGTCATTGACCAGCTCTCTGATATATAACAAGTAATTGCGAAGACCATGGCCTGGATTAGGTGCACCTTAGTCTCTAGACTGACATAGTTGCTTTTCAATACTCTGGAGAGCTCTCTGACAGCATATTTTCCAAGTGCAATTCATCTTTTGATTTCCTGACTGCTGGTGCCAAGAGATCATATGATCTACTATGCAGGAAATGAAAAGTGAGGAGAAATGGGTCGTGTTCATAGTTAAAAAGACCATTTCTAGGTCCATCTTGAAACACAAAGTTGTGAGTGACAGGATAACATCCATATGCATACAAGGAAGACCTATTAACACAACTATCATATGCACCAAAAACAGGGCCAAAGAAGAGGAAATAGATTACTTCTACTAGCTTTTGCAGTCAGAAATCTATTGAACATTCAACCAAGATTCTTTGATAATAATGAGTGACTGGAATGCAAAAGTTGGGAATAAGGAAGAAGGATCAGTAGTAGTCGGAAAGCATGGACATGGTGACAGAAATAAAGCAGCAGCAGATATGGTAGAATTCTGTACAGTCAATGACCTATTCATTGCAAATGCCTATTATAAGAAACATAAACAGCTATTATACACATGGACTTCACCTGATGGTCTCCACAGGAATCAAATTGACATCTGCAGAAAAAAAAAATCTGGAGAAGCTCAATATCAGCTGTGAAAAGCAGGACAGGTGCTGATTGTGGAACTGACCAGCAACTAGTCATCTGCAAGTTCAAACTGAAGTTACAGAAAATCAAATCCACAAAAACCAAAGTTTGACCTCAAATCTACCCCACCAGATTTTAAACACTATCTTAGGTCTGAGTCCTTGAACACTAATGAACAAAAACCAGATGACCTGTGGGAGGAAATAAAGACTATCATCTATGAAGAATACAAAAGTCTGAGGAAGAAGAAAAGACTAAGAAGGATGTCAGAAGAGACTCTTAATATTGCACTGGAGCACTGAGAAGCCAAAGCAAAAGGAATAAATCAAGAAGTTAAGGAGCTGAACAGAAAATTCCAAAAGCTAGCTCAGGGAGACAAATCAAAGTATTATAATGAAATGTGCAAAGAAATGGAGTTAGAAAATCAAAAGGGATGAAATCACTAGGAATTTCTTAAGCTGCAGGAACTGAAGAACAAGTTTAAGCTCTGAGTTGCAATATTTAAGGATGCTGAGGGCCGAATGTTGAATGACCCAGGAAGCATTAAAAAAAGATGAGGTGTGGGGGGAGCGGAAGATGGAAGGAATACACAGAATAACTATACACACACAAAAAATAAATTGGTTGACACAGAAGAATTTCATGAAATAACATATGATCAAGAAGCAAGAAACGTATGATCAGGAAGTTCAGGCTGCTCTGAAGGACTTGACAAAAGAATAAGTCCCAGACATTGATGGAATACCAAGTGACATATTTCAACAAACAGATGCTACCGTGGATACACTCACCAAGTCTGAAGGATAACACCTGGCCAACTGACTGGAAGAAATATAGATTTATTACCATTCAAATAAAAAGTGACCCAACAGAGTGTGGAAATTATCAAACAATATCATTAATATCACATGCAGGCAAGATTCTGCTCAAGATTATGCAAAAATGACTGCAACAATACATCAGCAGAGAACTGCCAGATGTACAGGCTGGGTTAGAAGAGGCCATGGCTCTAGCTACATCATAGCCAATGTTAGATGGATCTTGGCCGAAAGCAGAGAGTATCAGAAAAATGTCTATCTGTGCTTCAATGACTATGCAAAGGCATTTGACTGTGTGGATCACAACAAATTATGGCTAACCTTCAGAAGAATGAGAATCCCAGAACACTTAATTGTGCTCATGTGAAACCTATCCTTGGACCAGGAAACAGTCATTAGAACAGAGCAGGGAAACACTTCAGGGTCAGGAAAGATGTGCGTCAGGAATGCATCCTATCTCCATACCTTTTCAATCAATATGCGGAACAGATCATTATGAGGAGGAATGTGGCATCAGGATTGGAGGAAGACTCATCAACAGCCTGTGTTATGAATATGACATAACCTTGCTTGCTGAAACTGAGGAGGACGTGAGGCATTTGCTGCAGAAGATCAAGAACTGTAGTCTTCAATATGGATTGAAGCTCAACATCAAGAATACAAAGATTCTCACCACTAGGCCAACTGGAAGCTGCCTTATAGATGGAGAAGAGATTGATATTATTAACAATTTAGCATGTTTGGTTTCACAATCAACACTCTTGGCACCAGCAGTCAGAAAAATCAAAAGATGGGAAAATTTGCTGTCAGGAACCTTCCTAGAGGACTGAAGCATAACGATGTCAGTCTGGAGACCAAGGTGCATGTAATACAGGCCATGATCTTCACAATTACTTGCTATGCATCAGAGAGCTGGGTAATGACTAACGATGATCAAAGGATCAATGTCTTTGAGTTGTGCTGTAGAAGAGTGTTGAACATACCATGGACTGCCAGGAAAACAATCAGGTCAGCCCTAGAGAGGGTGAAACCAAGCTGTTCTTTGGAGACAAGAATTTTAAAACTCTGTCTCACATACTTTGGGTATATGGCCAGAAGTCAACAGTCTTTAGAAAAGGACATCATGCTCAGAAAGGTGGAGGAACAGCATAGGAGAAAAAGACCAGGATGAGATGGGTTAACACAGTGACTGGAGAAATGGGATTGATTGGGTCTGTTGGAGACAATGAGATTTCAGGATAGGATAGGGTTCAGACCTAATGTACATACAATCATTATGAGGTGCAGGTGACTCAATGGCACATAACAACAGTTGTCACAGTTTATTATAACTTTACTCACAGTATCAAATATATAGATGCAGCCCAAGTGTCTATTAATAAACAAATTGATAGGGAAATTGTGGTAGATTCACAAAATTAAATTTTATGTAGCATTAAAAAAAACATGAAGAGCTCATGAAACACTATACAACATAGGCTAGTCTGGAGGTCATTATGCTGAATGAAATAATGCAACCATAAAAGGACAAATACTGTATGAGACTTTAATTATAAAAATGTTGTTTATTGTTAAATGTCATCGAGTTGCCTGCAACTCATAGTGATCCTATGTACAACAACAGCCCTAAACTCCATTCTATCCTGTGCCACTCTCACTGTCTCTGACACACTTAACCCCATTACCCCAGTCACTTAATCAATCCATCTCACAGAGGGTCCTTATCCAAGGACTGGTCCCTCCATGCAACATGTTCAAAGTATGTTGACAAAGCCTCAGAATCTTTGCCTCCAAGGAGCAGTCTGGTTTAACCTCCATGATGAACGTGTTCATTTTTTTAGCAGTCCATTCCATACTCTTTTCCAACACTACAACTCAAAGGCATCAATTCTCCTTCTGTCATCCCTAGTAATTGTCCAAATCTCTGATGCATAGCAAGTGATTGCAAAGACCATGGCCTGTATCAGGCACACCTTATTCGCCAGAATGACACCATTGCTCTTCAGTATATTGGAGCAGTCCCTAATAACAGACTTTCCCATCGCAATATGTCTTTTAATTTCCTGGCTGTTGGTGTCAAGAGTGTTGACTGTGGAGCCAAGCAAACTAAAGCTGTTAACAATCTCAATCTCTTCACCATCCATCCTGATGCTGCCAGTTGGCCCAGTAGTGAGAATCTTTTTTTCTTGATATTGAGTCTCAATCTATACTGAAGACTGCAGTCCTTGACCCTCTGCAGCATGCACTTCAGGTCCTCCTCAGTGTCAGTAAGCAAGGTTGTGTCATCTGCATAAAGTAGATTGTTGATGAATCTTCCACCAATCCTGAGGCCACATTTCTCCTCACACAGCCCAGCCTCTCAGATAATCTGCTCTGCATAGAGGTTGAAAAGGTATGGCGATTAGACACATCCCTGGTGTACACCCTTCAATTTTTAAGCATACAGTGTTTCCTTGCTCTCTAAAAATTGCATAGTAACATGAGAACGGGACAGGGAGAACAGCAATAGTATGGATAAACAATGAACATAGACAGCCGACACCTCGTCCGCCCCGGAGCACAGGCCTCTTCGCATAGTCACCGCCGCCGGTTTACACCCGCCACCCCCAGCTCACCATGGATGATGGCATCGCTGCGCTCGTGGTCGACAATGGCTCCGGCATGTGCAAGGCCGGCTTCGCGGGCGACGACGCCCCCCGGGCTGTCTTCCCCTCCATCGTGGGGCGCCTCGGCACCAGGGCGTGATGGTGGGCATGGACCAGAAGGACTCCTACGTGGGAGACGAAGCCCAGAGCAAGAGAGGCATCCTGACCCTCAAGTACCCCATCGAGCATGGCATTGTCACCAACTGGGACGACATGGAGAAGATCTGGCACCACACCTTCTACAA